ATTTAAGTTTTATTTTTTATTTTATTTTATTTTAATTTAATTTATTTAATTTTTTTAAACATATTTTAATAACTTAAATTAATCAAAATCGAAATACTATAAGTCTATAATATAGTTATTATATTGTACAGGATGATTATGCTAAAATAAAAATGAACGAACAAAAAATGTCATGTCTTGAATCACGTGTTATCCTTTACCTGTCGTATAGGTTCTGCAATTTAGTACAGGGCTTCCAGTGCGTTAAGTACGATATTAGTGGTAGTGGTTGTATTTGACGATTGTCGGCTAGAGTTAATGGTAATACAGGATTAAGATCATCTGCATGTAACGTGATGTCATTTGATAGATTAACTAATGTCTCATATTCATTATCAAATGTGAAAATATTACAAATTTGATGAGCTATTTCTTCGTGAAGAGTGAGGGAATCTCACATCATTTTTATTTTATAAGAAAAAAAAACAAAAAGGAAAGTAATAACTGAATATGTTGATTATTCTTTAACATTTTTGCAAGAAAGAAAAATATATTAAAATATAGTTTCAGAAGTACAGTATATTTACTTTTAATTAGTTGTATACTTTTTTTTGTACATTCCGTTTATTTATAGAGATAAAGTGGTATTAGAAAAAATTTGGAAGGTTTTTTTTTTTTTTTTTATTACTTATTATTTTAGGTAATCAGATTTTATTTTGTTTGATTCATTTTTAATAAAAATAAAATATAAAATAAAAAATAACTTCATATTTCAGAAATCAGAGTAATACTAAAATTTTATTTTAAAGAATAAATAATAAAAATAAAAATTAGAGTTTGATTTTAAAATAAACTAAACGTAACCTTTCAATTCTGATCTTATTTGTCAGTAACATTGGTAGCATCGGTAGCATCAGTCCCAGCATTAGTGGTAGCTTCAGTCATTTCAGCTGGAATAGGATTTGATTCCAGAGCTTCTGAGAGACGAGTCCTGATTGAACCTATCTGTGCTAACGTCGTTCGACCTCTTTTTGATCTAAGGATCATGCCTCATAGAATATGATTGGACCTGCTATTACTGCTGCTATTACCTTACAACTACAGTAGATTTAGACCGCTTTGGTTATTTTTAGCAGCACTGTTGCGAGTGGATATCATTGATATGTCCTCAAGCCTCACTACATGTTTTCTGGATGTCTTTTCTTCTTGTGTAAGCTGATCGTAAATGGGCAACTCATAAGTAATTAGGCCTACCAACATAACCATAGTCGACCTCACCATCGTCTGATTAATGGCATTCATCTTGTTTGCTAGATACCTCATATTCAGATCATAGGTCACATCCACCTAAAATTCCCGGGTTCCCTTTCTCCTAAATTTTCTTCAACGTAGAATTCCAGGTGGTGCTTTTCATCAATATTTTTGACAGTCTTAGTTGTAATACCGATGACCATGATACTGATTCCTACCAACGGCATTATGTCAAAATTCAGGTTTTCTAAGACCTTGATGGATGTGGCATTCATCTTAAAAGAAGCGGAAAAGATGAATAGTTTTTGAAAATTTAATTTAAGATAAGAAAGGAAAAGAAAGGAAAGGAAAGGAAATAAACTTATCATACATACCGAATACCACCCTGCATATGCGATAAATTTGCCCCTTAAAAAGATCACATCCCCTGTGTCAAACTCCTCGATCTGGGTTTCAATATCCCAGTCTGAAGAGATGAACGCCTTGATTCTTAAGTAAATTACCTTCGTTAGATCATTATTTGATAATCTTGATACAGCTGTAATCTCTTTGACAGTGAAGTCTTGTATAAGACATTTTGTGGATTCGTGAACATAAGCAATGGTAGTGAATTTCACAAGCATTTTTTTTTTTTTTTAATAAAAAGTAATAATTTTTTATTTTTTTTTTTAAATTTTAAATTTTAATTTAATTTAAATTAAAAAAAAATTAAATTTAATAGGTAACCAAAAAGTACCCTTTTTTATATCTTCTTTCACAAACATGTTTCTTTTTTTTTTCTTCATTAAAAGAAAACCCAAGCCCGAACAAAGCCAATTCATTCATTTACAATATGTTTACAATATGAATTTTAACAATATTATATTCTTTGTCATATAACGTGAAATTCAACTCCATGATATCTCGAAAATGAATAAAAAACTAAGCCAAGATAAATTACAACAATATTCTTTATTGTTTGTATAGTGTGATAAAAAAATATAGAACATACTTTCAAAAGTTAATTTTACTATTTTAAGAAGTTCTAATCTCGAGACAATTTTCTTTTAAAGGAAACAGTACTTTACAGAATAAGAAACGGTCCGTAATTTGCCTTCGCCATAGTTCTCTTTTGGGCGAAAGAAATAATTTAATTATATTAAAAAATATTATATCATGAGAATTTATATCATAAGAAAAAGTAATGGAGGCAAAGTTTTTTTTTTTATTTTTTTTATATCTATACGTTTTGTGTTTAAATTATATCATGTTACATCATATTTAATTACGAAAAACGTTTTAGTCATTTTACACCAATATTTAAAAAAAACCTAAAATAGCAACTGATGACTGATAAGATAAGTCACCTAGCCACCTAAAAAAAAAAATAATCACAATTTTAGTTTAGCTTAATAAATGATAATTTAACAAACAAAAAATTAAAATAAGCCACCAAAGCTAAAACGTATTCATTTACTAGTTTTGGAAATTAATAAATCATATTCAAGCTAATGAAATGACAAGTCACTACAAAATAAAATGCATATATACAACCCACGTTCGCAAGGAGGGTGGGTGGGGTGTCATAATCCATAATCTGAAATCTACTAACTATTGGTAATCGAGTGAGAAATCCTAATTGATTAGGATTAGTACTCTATACTACTATTATTAAATTCGCAACCAAAATTGTGCAGATCGATTTAACCAAAAAAGAGTATCTTAGGCAAGTGTTTTGTTGATCTTAAAACGGGAACTTTGTAAGGATGATTAATTTTTTGATATAAGAATACGAGACTTGTATTACTGTGTACAAAGACCGATTAGGAAAAAATATAAGTCTGTTTTCTATCTCACAATAAAATATGGATTTCCAGGTCGAAATATTTAGATTCATCGCTAACTCATTTTTTATTTTTCCCAGCAGTTTCTAACCTTTCTATTGTAATAATATTATAAATTCTTTACATTATACGTATTAGGAATTCACATAATATAGGAAGGTATATAATTGTGATTAGTGTTATAGTTTTAAAACCTATTTTGTTCAGTTTCTACCCCTTCACCGTACGATATGACTTTTTTTATAATCCAAAGATGCATACCTTTACCAAAAAAAATTTCATTGACAATAAAAAAAAAACCTTATAATTTGTGTGAAACTTTTTAATAAGAACTTTTATTATATTTGGATTATAGGCGCAAATTGTTTTTTTTAAAAAAAAGAATCTTGTACATTTTCGTCGATGATATCGTTGATGTGAGAGCTGAAGCGTTAATAAACAACCGGACTTCAATAATTTTTTTTAAACTGTGAATTCATAACGTTTATGCTTGGAAAAAATAGTACGATAGCTTGGAAAGTCAGAATAAGAAAAAAAGTTGAATCTTACATCACAGAGCGTTACTGCACTTTATTGTTGCAAGTAAAATATGTTAGTCAAATACAGTCAATTGTACGACCACTCGCACTGATTTACCCAAATCTAAGACTTCATTAAAGTGAACTGAAATACACAGTCCACAATACTACAATTTACATTTCAAAAAAAGCTTAACTTTAATTAACCTGAAACTTATTAGAAGAAAAACGATAGGAAAGGTTAACAGATTCTTGTATTGTGAATACAAGTATTCAGCAAGTAAATAAGCATGAAACAAAGAAAAGATTCCACATTCCTGCCGTCTACATGGCAGACAGGTAATATGGCCAACCTTTGCACACAGAATGTTTATCGCCTATATGGCAGGTAAGGTTATTCTAATGTGCACCTCTGTCGACTGATCAACTATATGCTAAATTAGCCGGCAGGTAATTGCAATAAGAAGGTTATTACCTACATGATAGATGATTGTCTCCCTTTACACTTTCAGTATGACCACCGTCTATATGATAGGCGCAGGACGTATAGACCAAGACGAAAGATTTAGAAGCATAAAATTATCATAAAACAAACGTTTTAAATCATTACTACGATACACAGTTCAATAATAACATAAGATCCTAGCAATTTGATTGGATCTACACGCATTTGAAATATCTTTTAAATATGTTAGGGAATAGGGAAAAGAAAAAAAATTTTTTCAATTGTTATTTCAACTTTTAACTATGTTCATATCTGAACTATGAGTAACAGGAAAGTATTCTAATTTAAGTGTGAACAGAGAGCGCGTGACGTTGAAGACTTCTTTAAGAGCCAACCGGCTTCGAAGTGGTCTTTTGAGCTTTACATTGATAATTTTCTTGCGGATTCCAATCTTAACATTAGCTTCGACTAACTGCTAAGCACCTTTGTAGATAGCTTAGATCAAATGAATCAGCTACACACCGTTCTATTAAGTATACAGTCAATATGTACTAATTACCTAAAATGGCTCCAGGTACCTGTCACTTATCGATACTAGATCAAACTTTAAAGTTGCCTCATAACATCTATTATCATAGTTACCAACAGGTAGAACCCTTGTGAGTATATGCAGAGAAGTCTTTGATGCTAAGATAAATCTCGAGAAAAAAATTTCAATTGAATTCGGTGTTTAAGGTATGTTAACATATTATTGTAACTAATGAGATTACGAGATGCTAATATGCTTATGCATCTTTGCAGAAATCAGTCAATATCACCGCTCAAACAAGCTTTTTTACAACCTGTTCTATCAGAAACGGAATTATCACTATCGGGTTTTCCGTTAAAATCAGAATCATCACCATCGGTTTTTCCACTAAAAATGAAATCATCACCATTGTTTTTTTTGTTAGAATCAGAATCATCATCGTTTTTCCATCAAAAATGTCATCAATCTTTTTATCTTTCTTGCCAAAAAAGAACATTCCGTTACCATTTTCAAATACTTTACCGCCTAAAACTTCGACACAAACTCTCCAAAAATTAACACCTAACAAGCGGCCAATAGAGAAGGAAGAACTCTGGCAGTAAGTTTATGCTTGTTATATTACTTGGAAAATAGAGGTTATTCTGATAGTATTTTGTTCTTCCGTGTAATAGCTACACTTAAAGCAATTTCGTTATATGTGCATTTGCGTTGACAACTAAAGAATTGAAAGCGGAAATTGGCATAGAACTCACCAAAGAGTTGTCTTCTATGTGTGACAAAAATCCTGCTTATGAAATCCTGCTTTAGAGAAGTATATAGATACCACTCTTAAGGAATCTGGGGACAAGTTTAAAGACATGGTATGCAGATCTTAAGCTATTTAATACGAGTTCTAGTATCAAATTATTTATTTGCTTTCTCAGACTTTTTATAAATTTTTATACTATTTGTTTTTTTCCTATCGCTGTTGCTATCTATGAGATTCTCACCTCTACACTCTTTTGCTACATCAGATTTCTAAAATAGATTATCCCACCTATATCTACAAATTTTCACCAATATCCCATCAATACTAACTTTATAAAAAACTTCGACTTTATCTAAGTTCTGCAAAAAAACTTCATTAAGATAAAAAAATGTTAAATCTATAGCATCAGAAGATTAGCAATGAGGTAAAAAAATAATTCTTCCAATTCACACTTATTAATATAGTTCATTTTCACATTATTCCATATATAAGGAATTGACTGCTTAATTTTTTATACGTTATTGCCAGAATGATATTTTCAAGAATTCAGCACATGAAGATGCTTATGTCAGATGATATACTGCGTCAAACTTTGCTGTGCTGTTGCATATGACAAGAATTATGTGAGAAATTTCACTGCATCTATTGTATTTATGATGATAATCAGAGATTTTCTCAGCAAAGATCAAAATGCCAATATATAGTAAAAAGAGTATTATGTCCAATTTGTTTTGAAACATCTGTAGAGGTAAGAAAATCGATTAACAACATGATGACATGATTCAAGAAGCTAGCTAAGCAATAAACCAACTTATTTTATTATTGTTTTGTGAAAATTACAAGTTCGTTTGATTAGAGATATTATTGATGTAAATAATGGTAAGTTTGAATATTTCGCTTATTTTTTGTTTGTTATTTGGAAGGCAGATAAAGGATTCACTAGCTGAGGCATCACCTTTTTATATAATTCACAGGATCAATTTTGGAATAGCTTTGGAAAAATATTAACGCATCACAAAAATCTGATCAATGGCTTCTCCTTAATTTAATAATAAAAAATTTAACGCTATCTATATGTAAAGATTATCAAGGGGTCCTTTAACAATAATATACATAATAATTTTAAGAATATGCGAGAAAGTTTGAGAATAAAAGTCTCTAAATCTTCGCTGATAATCTTATTGTCCAATAATTTGCCAATTCAGATTTCCTAAATTACCTGTATTAATATACGAGTAAAAATTAGCACTATATGTACATTGAATCACTATGAGAAAAAATATTGCTCGGGTTACTTAGTAGCCTAAACATCTTTTATTTGCAATGTATTAAGCTAAAAAAATTATATGATACAAGACTAGCCCTAAGTATATTCATCTATTCTAGTTTTTTCTAATACATACTATGTTATATGATAATCATGAAGATTCTTTACACTTCCAGCAGGATCTACTAGCTAATAATTCAATGCCGTCTTACTATGCATAACATATACTGCAGAGAAGTAGAGATGACATACTTATTGTACATGATATATTTTAGAAGCATATGATATCTAAGCCACCTATGTGATTTGGAAAAAAGAAATATAGTAATAAACTTATAGGAATAATCGAGTACTAAATATGCAAAATTCTCTTAGGCAGTTACTAAAGAAATAATAGGACTCATCATTGAGAAAGTTTTTCTTTCATATTCTCTGTTACGATAGTAATAACCTCTATCATATTCACTATATTTATTATATTCACCGTACTCATCATTATCTGAATCATCTGGCATCTCTTCTTCAAAATCATCAGAATCAGAGTCATTGTCTAACTTACTTTTATTTATTTCTCTCCCTGATTGTAAAACAGCTTCTTTATTCATTTTTTCACTGACTGGGTGTGAAATCAATTTCCTTATCAAAATACACACAATCCTTCACACAATCTTCTAAAAGCATTTTGTAAAAATCATCCTCAGCTTCGAGTGAATACTTAGGCAGACTTCTTTAGAATCATCAAAAGAGTTAGAGTCATAGATTAAAGGGATAGGTATTGTTGATCTATAATCTTTTAGATTTCATCATTAGTAAACTTTGATATTTCATTTGCACTATACAACTTGATATACTGAATTTTATCCAATTTTATTTTTTCAAGAAGCTTGTAGATCTTTTCAGCTCTCTAAGTTCTTTGTGCAAACCATCTCTTATTATATCCTTTAAGAGTGGCACTCTGAATCTTGAGATCTTTTCTTATGAAAGATATTAATTTGCTTCACGACTTTATTGTATATTAGACCTCTTGCCTTCTTTTCGCCAATTTTATTTTTATCACACAAGGCCTCTAACTGAAATACAAAATTTCTTTCATAGTAATACCAGCATAATTTTTCTTCTTGATTTGCTTCCAATCTGTGCTCTTCTGCAATAAGCACTTTATCATATAATTGGGCTAAATGCTGAGATATCTTTATCATACTAGTCCTATAAAATGAAAATACTAATGCATCTGAATTATTAGATTTCTGGGACCGCGCGATCTCAGAAAAATGCCAAGAAAATTTTATGTAATCTGCTTGTAATGCAAAAAAAAATTAATTAATGATTATGCAAAACATCTTTCAATACGCTCTGGACTAGCTAGATTATTCAGACTCTGTTTCAGTTTCAGAACTAGAAGATTCTGAATCAGAACAGCAGTAATCTTTATCAAAATTTTCGATATAAATATTTGAATTTAGCTGGTCCATGACTTTTTTGCTAATATTTTCACATCCTTCCATTAGTCGAAATCAAAAAAATCAGACATGCAAAAATCAGCCTAAAATCAGCCTAAATTTAGTAAATTATCAAAAATCAGCCTAGCCGATTGACATACATCAGAAATCGGCTAAGAATCAATCAAAATTTGATCTATCTTATTTATAACCGATTGGTATACTTATAGCCGATTGGTATATATCAAAATTCAACCTATCTTATTTATAACTGATTGACGTCCAATTGGAATGATTGTATTATTTTTTAAGTACAATAGTTTTATTGTTTCTAAGAAACAATGCATTTATTGTACCTTAAGTACGATGATTTTATCATTCTTAAGATACGATGGTATTATCGTTCCTTAGGTATAATGATTTTATCATTCTTAAGATACGACGATTTTATCATTTCTAAGGAAAAATGCATTTATCGTTCCTTAGATACGATGGTATTATCGTTCCTTAAAGATGATGGTATTATCATTCCTAAGGCACAATAGTTTTATTATTCCTTAGAGATGATGGTATTATCGTTTCTAAGACATGATGGTTTTATCATTCCTTAGAGATGATAGTTTTATCATTCCTAAGGGACGATTGTTTTATTGTTCCTAAGGTATAATGCATTCATTCCTTAGGGACAATAGTATTATCATACCTAAGGAATGATGGTATTATAGTTCCTTAAGGACAATTATTTTATCATATCTAAGGAATGATGATTTTATTGTTCTTAAAGAACAATAGTATTATCGTACCTAAGGAACAATGATTTTATCGTTCCTAAGGAAAAATGCATTATTGTTCTTTAGGGATGATAGTATTATTGTTTATCATTCCTAAGAACTGAACTTTCAGATTTATCTGATTATTAAAATAATATTGATTTAATGTATTATTTGAGTTTATTTCTGATATATAGGAATATTTATATAAATAAGCTTAATTTTTTAACTTTTTAAAAAATAATTTTAATCATTTCCAAATTTTCTTTTTTTACATTTCACCAAAATCCCAAAAAAAAATCGTCCCAAAAACAAAAAGACTTAAGTTGAATTTTAATCAATTTTCACCTTCAACTATCAAAATTAAATGAAGAAAAGCTGTATTTTAGTCAACTTTTCAAAAATAAACTGATTTTTTTTATTTTTTATAATAGAAACATACCTTTAACCATCAAATCAGACGAAACTTAAGTTGAATTTTTTTACTTTTTATAATAGAAATATGCCTTAACCATCAAAATTGGACAAAAATTAAGTTGAATTTTTCTAATTTTTTTACTTTTTATAATAAAAACATGCCTTCAATCATTAAATCAGACGAAACTTAAGTTGAATTTTTCTGATTTTTTACTTTTTATATAAAAACATGCCTTTAACTATCAAATTAGACGAAACTTAAGTTGAATTTTAGTTAATTTTTCTGATTTTTTTTACTTTTTATAATAAAAACATGCTTTTAACCATCAAATCGGATGAAACTCAAGTTGAATTTTTTTACTTTTTATAATAGAAATATGCCTTTAACCATCAAATTAGACGAAACTTAAGTTGAATTTTAGTCAATTTTTCTGATTTTTTTTTACTTTTTATAATAGAAACATACCTTTAACTATCAAATCAGACGAAACATAAGTTGAATTTTAGTCAATTTTTCTGAGAAACATACCTTTAACCATCAAATCGAACGAAACTTAAGTTGAATTTTTCTGATTTTGTTACTTTTTATAATAGAAACATGCCTCTAACCATTAAAATTGGATGAAACTTAAGTTGAATTTTAGTCAATTTTTCTGATTTTTTTATTTTTTATAATAGAAACATACCTTTAACCATCAAATCAGATAAAACTTAAGTTAAATTTTAGTCAATTTTTCTGATTTTTTTTACTTTTTATAATAGAAACATGCCTTTAATCATCAAATCAGATGAAACTTAAGTTAAATTTTTCTGATTTTTTTACTTTTTATAATAGAAATATGTCTCTAACCATCAAAATCAGATGAAACTTAAATTAAATTTTTCTGATTTTTTTACTTTTTATAATAGAAACATGCTTTTAACCATCAAATCAGACGAAATTTAAGTTGAATTTTAGTCAATTTTTCTGATTTTTTTTACTTTTTATAATAGAAACATGTCTTTAACCATCAAAATTAGACGAAATTTAAGTTGAATTTTTGTGATTTTTCTGATTTTTTATTCTTTTTTTTCAAAAATGGCAATATTATTATAATGA